ATTTGTGAAGCTGTTGTACCTGATTAAAGGGATGCTGTTTGTTCAGACATGGCTGAGGCTGGAAACCTCGGTCAGGTCACGACAATGGCGCAGTTCGTAGATTGCTAGGTGCTAGCTACAATTTAGTGAAAAAGTAGGTATAGTGGAATAAAAACTACTCTCCGACGGAAGGGCGGAGTAGTAGAAATGTTTCCCGGTAGGCTCCCAAGGAGTAGGCCGGGAGATAAGACCGAGTAAAGAAAAAATCCCGTCGGAAGGGCGGTGGATTGGAAAACGTCTCCGGTAGGCTCTCTGACAGAATGGGCAGTCGAGTAGGCCGGCAGACTAAAAAAAAAAATATATTGATAATAATGAAAATCTTCCTGGTAGGCTCCCTGACGAAAAGGCAGTGGAGTAGGCCGGGAGATTAAAAAAAATAGATTGATAATGAAAATGTTCCCGGTAGGCTTCCTGACGGAAGGACAGTGGAGTAAGCCGGGAGATTTATAAAATAAAAACTAACCCTCTTTATGTAGAGGAGATGATGTCTTCGGTAGGCTCCCTGATATCATAAGCAGTGGAGTAGGCCGGTGGACGATAGCAAATCAAACATGAACAATAAATTTTCCCTGATTGGAAGAATTGGGAGGTGAAAATAAAAACAAACTTCTCATAATTAGCGCAGTGAAAGTCCGGTAGGCATCCTGATGGAAGTAGGCCGTTACATCGGAACATAGAATGTTGATGGCAATGTTGAAGATGAAGTGTGATCATGACAATGTTGATGATAATGATTGTGATAGCTACGTTGAAATTGACGACAATTTTACAGTTAATGTAAAAAAATGGAGATGAAGTTTATGAAAATGTTAAAGTGCAGAGTTGAAGCTAATATCGATATTAAAAGTGATCATTATTTTGATGGCAAAATTTAAGTTTTTTGATATTGAAATTAACGATGAAAGTAGAGATATATTTTAAAGTCGACAGATTAATTGAAAATGGTGCTAATGTTGGAGTTTTGGCAACGTTGAAGTAAAGATAGTGATTTTTTTAATATGTTGTCGAGGTTAAAGTTGACGGCTTTGTTGATGTGGTCATTCTAAAGTTGAAGTTAATTTCAATGTTAAAGATGATAGCCATAATGATGATTAGGTTAACAAAAATAGAATGAGGGAATAATAGCAACCGATGGAAACTAACAAGTAACAATTTTGGTGTTATGAGTGTTCTGTAAACAATCGTGCAGACTTATAGAATGCTATAAAACCTCTATAAAGCTTGCAATGTTACTTGGGCGAAGAGAATACCAGAGCTGAGGCAAAAAAAGTTGAGCTCGTTTCTTCGGAACCTTCTGCTCTTAGAGTTACCTCTATGATAATAGTGAATGATATAATTGAGCGTGAGGGTTTAGTTGTCAATACACAACTCAAACGTGATGATGAGCGGACATGAGGTGACATTTTTGACTAACTAAAACTCAAAGCTACTGTAGCTGATATCCGATAAAGTTGTGGAATCGATTGAGCTAAATGTCGAAAACAAAACAAATGAGAACGGATGAGGGGCTAGTGATTTGTAAAATGATGTTGAAGTTGGTGGTTTTATATACGTTTATTGCAATGTTAAAGTTGATGAGGATGTGGCAATTGAAATGTATGTTCAAATATACGGATATATTAAAAAAAAATATACTATTGAAAATGATAGTGTTGTTGAAGTTAAACAATAGGAATGAATGGTAACATTGAATTTGATAAAGATTTAAAAGATGTTCGCAATATTGAAGATGACGGTAATGATAGTTGTAATTGTGAAAATTGAATTGTAGTTGATGAATTGATTGACCTGGTTAATGCAAACGAAGTTATATTGAAGGGCTTATTAGCATTGTGAACCATATGAAAAAAAAATCCATCCGCTATCACAGAGTTCTACTACAGCTGTCAAAGTTCCAGTGTACTGTATATTAAAAAAATTAACACAGTGTGCATTGACAAATTTAAAGTATTTTGCTGGCGATTCTTTGTAAATCTGAAACACTCGATTGAACATCTTTTTTATTTAACTTATGACGAGAGGATGTAATTTTAGAACAGAGTCAACGTTGAAGTCGATTGGCAATGATAATGATTTGGGCGAAGTGGGCTGCATGATGATGTTGAGATTGATGGCATAATAGAAGGTGATAGGAATGTTAAAGTTAATGGGATATACAAACTGACTATTATATTACATGTAATAATGATATTAAAGATTCTGTTTAAATTGATTACGAATTTGAAGTAGATGCAATGTTAAAGTTTATGATCATGATTAAATTTATGTGAATGTTGAAATTCATGCATATGTTGACGCTGATGTTTGTGTTGTAGATGACAGCAATGATAAAGTTAATGATAATTTTGAAGTTGATGATGAAACTGAAGTTAATGATAAACACTCGTATGTTTACGACATGCCATTTTTTTAAACGATAGTAATACTGATGATGACAGTAATAAGTTAACCGTTAAGTTGCATTTGCAGGCAATGTGGAATATGTTAATTATTGCAAGCTTGAAGTGATTGTAAATTTTCATGAACACGGTTATGTTCAACTTTATCTCTATGCTGTAGTTCGTTTTATGTTGATGTTTATAGCGTTTTGGAAATTTATGATAGCATTGAAATTAATGCTGATGATAATACTAAAGATAATGGAAAAAGTTCAAACTGATGTCATTGTTGTAGTTAATGTAGAAATGAGGAATTTTATAATAATTAATAAAAACAATATGCTTGAATACTGTTTTGGTTGTATAAGTTAGCAAAAACAAAATGAGTTTGCAAATTTACTCTAGAGTACAGGAGGGGAAGAATGTGGTGGATATAGTTGGTGTGAATAAAAATATTAAAATAAATATATAAAAACTTGAGAGTTGAGTCAACTAAATTAGCGTGAAGCATGACAGATGTGAGGGGAAATACTGGCAAAGTAAGCAGTGCTGGATAAACGAGGAGAAAATTTGGAGGGTATAAATATGAGCTATGTAAGCTCGTTGACGACATTCTTGTAACTAACTTTAGCAGCGAAGGACATCAGCAGCAGCAGCAGTAGCAGGAGCAGAAGCAGCAGCAGTAACAACATCAGCAGCAGCAGTAATGGAAGCGGAGCAGCATCACTGATTTGTGAAGCTGTTGTACCTGATTAAAGGGAAGCTGTTTGTTCAGACATGGCTGAGGCTGGAAACCTCGGTCAGGTCACGACAACTAGAATAATGTAAACAGGGTAGCAGCAACAATCAATACGAAACTAACGATTTTAAATTGGCTCACTACTTGACTAGCCTATTGGGCCCAAGCAAACGATTAACTTACCCCATTCTAGTTGAAATTCTAGTACTACACAATGTTTGTTTTGATTCGCTATGAAAGTTTGACAGATAAAATGAGGGGTTATTGGTTTTTCCTATGTTTCGAGGGGTGAATCGATTAGCTTGGGACCGAAGAGAGCCAAAAAGTTGAGCACGTTATTTCGGGACCTTCTAGTTTTAGAGTTACCTCTATGGTATCAGCGTCTACCAGCATGAAATTTCAGGAGCAACTGAAATTCGTGCTAGTTGGCGAGTACACTAGCGCTAGCAAATCCGCACAGATGTTAACACTCGAAAAAGGAACCAGGCACGTAAACAACAGGTAGGAAAACATCAACAAAAAGCATTCCAAAACACACAACAGTTCTCGAACAATTATCAATGCGAACTCTACCTAACAAACAATTTTAGCTGCAGACTAGCTTATACAGGAAAATATTAGCTGTATAAGCCAATTTTTGGCTGTATAAGCTAATCTGCAGCTAAAATTGTTAGTTGGGTAGCTACGTCCACTTAGTGGTGAATGGAAAAAAAAACTCAGTTTTCGGAGCTGGTGACAGGTCTGGATCAACGAACACTCAGTTGAGAGCCAGCGTAAAGTCCCAGTAGGAACGTAATAAAGCAAACACAATATTGTTTGATTCAATTTTAATTAAAATGTTTGAATATTACGGTAAAAAAGCCAGGTTCACCACGAGAGGTTAAAAGAGCACTGAATCTGACATTTCGTACGTACATATGTATTCTGTTCACCAGAAAGAAGCCTTAGAACCTTTCAGTATAGGAACTTTTTTAAACTTAGACCATTTTCAGCTCTTAGCTAAATATTCAATACCAAACAATAATCACAAATCATTACCAGCTGTCAATTTTTGATTAAAATTATTATTGAGTAATCCAATGTTCAATTTATTTCATTTTTAATTGTTATTGCTTTTTTTGTCAATAAAAAAACATCATTATAATTAATATTCATCATACTTCGCAGTTATTTACGTCATTAATCCGATTTACCTCTCGATCATTTACAGTAACTTCATATCGAACTCAAATTCGTCAAAGCCGGGAAAAAACCAAATCATCGCAAGTCAAACACCAGTCGATAATAACTCCCTGCAGCTGTGACATAAATTACCAATAAAGTACATTAAATCACTTATCGCATTGCTGACCGAAAACCAATTTGACTGGGCCATTGTATGCACTTCTAGGTAAAACGACTGCATCCTGCGCTGCTGCTGTCATTCCCACTTTCTCTCTATCTATCTCTCTATCTCTATCTCATTCCCCGATGCGCAATACCAACAATCCCATCTCATCCGATCCACTTCCTGGTACCGTGCGCTGTAATTCGTTTACGAGACAGGTACCAACCCTTAAATACACATACACACATAGCGCACGCTAATTAAAAAGTCGAAAACTCGTTGCACTCACGAGGACCGCCACACATATTGCCAATTAAGCAAATTGTAATTAATTTATGTGGAATTGGATCCAACATCCCCGGCGTTCGTGCTGAAGCTCACCATTAATAGAACACACGGTCAAAAGGTCACCTGGTCCCGGTCCCGGTCCTGCTGGAACAAAAGGATTAACTCTGCAAAATGGCAGTGATCAATTCCGCAAATCCTGATTTCTCGTTAATGATTACATCGGGTGTGGTTTGGGTTTTTTAAATGGCTTTATTTAAAAAAGTGGTTACGCTGCTGCCGCTGTTTCGCGTTATTCACAAAGAATGAGTTTGATCAATGTTTTACCATTTTTTTTTGTTTGTTTACTCTCTACAGTACACTTACTTAGGGCTAAATTACACTTACAATTTGTGTCACTTTTTTCTCATTCTGCTTAAATATTACTTTTTTTTTTTTAGGTTTGATCTTCAATAACGACATAACCTTCCAGTACGGACTCGTACGCGGTTCGAAGCTTAGGAAAGTTTTGCGATTCCTATTTTACAAAAGAAAAGTTCAGAATCTGTTGTCTTAATTGTTAATTAGCATCTCTTCATTAGTAATGTTCGTGAAGTCTTGACAGTATCTTTAAATCTATTTTAAAAGGTTCATCAATATAATTTCATTTTGGTTGCCTGCTTGCACCAGAAAATAATCACTATAAAAGGGTTTTCTCAAGGGGAAAATAAGTTACCATCTTCTGTTTTAAGCTAAAGCCTTACGTTACTAGTTTAAAATCTAGGTGAGTTGGTTAAAAGTTTTACGGTAGGAACAGAAAATTAAAGTAAATCCTTACCAGCAACGGAATAATCTCACCAAAAGCGTCAGTGATAGGAGCATAAGCAAACTGCTGGTCGGACTCGTGCAGGCTCGGTTGGCCCACCCGAATGGATTGCCGAATGCCGTCGATCCCAGGGTCTGTTCGACGTCCTCCTCCGGCATGTCGCTGCTCAGTGTGTAGAACTGGAAGATATCGCTTACCTGGAATGGATGAAAGATTGGTTGATATGATCAGAAGAAATTTGAGGTAAGCGCGAATTGTTCGCCAAATTCATCAGGGGATATAATGTTATGCCGTCTTTCTTTCCGCGCTAGTAGCTTAATGATCTTAAACGTAAACTTCCCTGATGAAGATCGCAAGATTGAATCGTTGATGATGGTTAGAGTGTAATGAGCATTTGATCAATCGTTCCTTTATGAAGTTCCCTTCTCGGAACTTCTCTATCGAACCAACAATTTCCCAAATATTCATGGACCGCTCTGACAATCCCGAAATTGTCCTTCTGAAATTAATTGATGGAGCTGTTTTGAGGTTCTTTGACCTTCCGGAAGAAAATAATGAAACTGCTTAAAAACATCAAAATTTCTCTGAAGTTCTCTGAATTTCCATGTAAATCTCGATTTCTTATTTGAAGTGAACTAAACTGCTCAGAGGTTCTCTGATCATTCCTGATGATATGGTCTTAAAGCTATCATGATGTTCTTAAAATTCTTCTGACGTTGCTGGTATTGTCCAGAAAAAATAAAAATCAATCTTATTGTTTTTTAACTTCCTGGAAAATCTCTGGACTTCTGTAATGTTCCCATAATATGTCTGAAGTTTTCTAAACTTTATAAGAGTTCTCTCATTTTTCCAGAAATTTGCGGAGTTTCATATTTCAATTTACTGAAAGTCTTTCCTAATGTTATTGGCACTGCAGTTAAGGTCTTTGAACTTCCTTGAAGATCGCTAGGCCTAGCTTCCCTGGTGTTTTGAGAATTTCTTTATATCTTCCACAATTTTTCTCAAGTTATCTGGATTTTCAGAAGTTTTCTGAATATCCCTGAAGTTATTAGAAAATATTAAAAGTTCCTGATTTTTTCCTCAAGCTGCCCAAGCTTCACTGAAATGCCCGAAATGTTATAGAATTTATTGGGACTTCCCTTGATATGCTGCAGTTTGTTCATGGATCTTCGATGAAATCCTTGATATGAAGTCCTCCTATGTCCTCTAATATTATGTCCGATATTCCTCTCTTTATTTATCGTATTTCAAAACACCATGGTGTGTTCCTCCCTTTGAAGATACACTGAAACCTCCGTTTAAGAAGTCTTTTTTTACGCCGTATTCATTTTACATCCCTCTTTTTACGAAGTAAATCCCAAATAACGAGTTTTTTTTTGTGATTTTGGGAAACACTGTGAAATACCCCACAATATGGGTATTTTTGGAATTGGAGTGACGTGTAGGAACCGGAAATCGATGTCGGACGCCATTTTGAAATCCAAGATGGCGGCTTCCGGTTACAGAAAAACTTGGAAGTTCTGCCAAATACCCCCACAATATGGGTATTGCAGGGAACAGAAATCGATATCTGACGCCATTTTGAAATCCAAGATGGTGGCTTCCGGTTACATAAAAACCGTCATACACCCCACAATATGGGTATTTTTGGAATCGGATTGACATTTAGGGACCAGAAATCAATGTCTGACGCCATTATTAAATCCAAGATGGCGACTTCCGGTTACATAAAAACTTGGAAATTCTGCCAAACACCCCGCAATATGGGTATTTTTGGAATCGCCATTGGTCTGACGCCATTTTTAAATCCAAGATGGCGGCTTCCCGTAACAGAAAAATTGCCAAATACCACCACGTCACCCCGATTCTTAAGATACCCATATTGTAGGTTATTTAACATTATTTTTATGTTTTTATGTCACCGGAAGTCGCCATATTGAATTTCAAAATGGCGTCAGACCTGGGTTTTCAGTCCTAATAAGTCACCCCGATTCCAAAAAAACCCATATTGTGGGGTATTTGACAGTATTTTCCAGTGTTTCTGAAACCGGATGTCACCATCTTGGATTTCTAAATGGTGTCAGACAGTGTTGGAAAAGTTCGCGATATTTCACGAAGTTCGCCAAGAGAAAAGTTCGCGAGTCATAGTGAGTTTTCGCGAACTTTTCCATCACTGGTGTCAGACATGGGTTCCCGGATCCCACGGGTCACCCCGATTTCAAAAATATCCATATTGTTGTGCATTCAACGGTACTTTTCTGTTTTCCTGTAACCGGAAGCCACCATCTTGGATTTCAAAATGACGTCACACATCGATTTCCGGTTCCTACACGACGCTCCGATTCCAAAAATACCCATACTGTGGGGTGGTATTTGACAGAATTTCCATGTTTTCCTGTAACCGGAAGCCGCCATCTTGGAATTCAAAATGGCGTCACACATCGATTTCCGGTCCCTACAAGTCACCCTGATTCCAAAAATACAATACTTTCAAAACCCTCTTTTTACGAAGTAAATCCCAAATAACGAGTTTTCTTTTTACGCACTAATTCAATTAACAAACCCCCGTTTTGGTTCGTAAATGGAGGTTCCAGTGTACTCAATTTTCCCTAAATGTCTGTACTTTTCTGAATTTCTTGAGCATGCCCATTAGATCTATAAGCTACCCTGAAGATCTCTAGACCCAGCTTCCCAGAATTTCTTGAAACTCCTTCACAGTTTCCAGGAATTCCTTAAGTTTCCTAAGGATTTCTTGACTTTTCTTATGTTTTCTGAATATCTCTGAAGTACATATATATCGTCTTAAAGGTTTATGCAGTTTCCCTGAAGAAGATGGAACCACCTTGAAGATCTTGAAGCTTCCCTGAATTGCCAGACATTTTACAGAAGCTCCCTTATTGTCCCGTAGTATATTCATGAAGTCCTCGGTGCCTATTTCTTTTCATTCCTCGGGAAATTTTCCTACACCCTATGGTCGAAAATGCAAAATAACACGAAAAAAAAAAATCGATATCTCGAAAACTCTAGAGGTTTCTTGAAAACTACAGCGGAAAGCTCTCGAGAGGTTTGAGATCTTCGAGAGAGTTTGTTTACAAGAAAAAATCTTCGATTTGGCGTAGGTTGTAATTAGGGTCGTCCTCCTTTTTTTCATTTATTTTTATTTTTAATATTAAGAGGAGTACTTGCTGCTGCAAAGCTAGAGATAATTTAATTTAAAGCATCTTTGCTGAAAAATTCAAAATTCCATCTAATCAACATAAAATTCCATGAACGTTTCGCAAAATTGGGGTGGCTCTGAAAAAAAAACAGTGTTTTTGCTCTAACATTTATATTTCGATTTAATTCTCAAAACCATTGTAGAATTACTTCAGGAACATGAGAGGACGAATATTTTGAAGGTTTTTGTGGATTTCTAGATGTGGGTTTACGAAAGTTATGATGGTTTTTAGACATTTGATCTATATGTAATAAATCTAAAAAAATAATTTTAAAATGAGAGAAAAGGTGCTTTGGGAAGGTGAAATTTATATTTCGCACCGCTTTTATTAATTTTTCGGCTTAAATTTGAATGCTCCTTAAAATTAATACCATAACCAAGATGGTAGGTAGAGTGCTGATATACTGAGAGTTGAAATTAGTAATAAGGACAGGGAAATTGCAAAACAAAAATTGTCCAAACACATGGTGGTGATATTTTTGATTCGCTGAGTGTAGTGCACTTTGTAACTATTTATTTCACACCCATAAAATATGGCTAAATGCATCTTATATTGATAATTTTCTGCAAGAAGAATCGTCCTATGATTCTTTTTTTTTTTACTAAGCGCAGGACTGGTAGCGAGTCACTTTTTAGTGACTTGGTCACTTTTTTCAAGCCAGTCATTAAAAAGTCTTCTTTTTTAAGGCCAAGTCACTAAAGTCACTTTTTATTGCAATCAGTCACTATTTTCAACTTTATTTAACGTTCATTTATTTCAAGATTAATCATTCTTTACGCACTGCATTGTTCAGGATTTGATAGTCCAATCGATGCCTACATTTTGTTCTAATTTTCATACAATTCGAAGAAGCTTTCTTTATCTACAGGGTGGCTCATTTTCTTTTAATAAAATTACTTGAATTTTCCAGGTTTTTCCAGAAGTTTAAAGGATAAATTACAGTCTTATAATAAGAAAGCTATTTTTTAAATGCGTTAAAAATATTCTTTTTTTGTGGATAAAAAAACAACAGTAATTAACCCAAACGTTTTTACGACATGGCAATCAGTTTGAAAGAATCAGCTTTACAATAAAATCCAATGAACTTAATTTAAGTAGGTCCAAGATCTAAAAATATTCAATGTTTTGAAGTTTCGTTTTCGATGTATAAGTTAATGATATTAAACATTTCCAAAGTGCCAGAATTCAGGTATTTATTTCAAGTTCATGAGTAACTTTATGAAAAATTAATGATCTTCATTGCAGTCCAAAACAGCAATTGTAGAAACTTTGGACAAGTTCTGAAGAATGAAAGGGAATACTGAGAATTTCAGTGAAGCTCCATAAACAAACTGCGGGAACATAAGGGACGTTAACACGCCAAACATATGGGGAACTTACTAGAAGCTTTAAAACCTCAAAGTGGTTCATTTGGCATCCAAAAATGTTTCAGGAACTTTTATGAAGTTCCTAGAATTTCAGAGAACTTCGCAGGTGTCAAGCAAATTTGAAATGTATAGAAAACTTGAGAGGTATTGTGCAAATTTCTACGTTCATTCATACGTTCTATTACAAAAGTCAGGGGAATTTCAGATCTTAAGAGCAGTTTCCGCAAATTTAGTCCAGACTTTTGGAGCGGGTTAAAGATCTCTAATCGTAAATTTAGAAAAAATCAGGATAGTTCCAAAAAAATCGAGAATCCTTAAGGGAAGTACAGATAATTTACGAAAACTTCAGAAACATTAAAGGATCTTCACAGAAGTCCAGACAATTTCAGAGAAATTTAAAGGTGTTAACGGGAATTCCATTGATTTCCAAGTAGAACCCAGATTGATAGAATTGAGAGGCTTAGGGAAGCTTTGAGAACATCAAGACAAATCAAAAAATCAAAAGGCAGTTCAAAAAAATTCAAGGAAATTTCGGCTAGAAGTTTCGAGAAACTCAGGGGAATTTTCTGAAACTTCAGCAAAGCTCCGAGAGGATTTCTGGAACGTGATAAA